CCTTCCACCGGTCGCTTGTGTCACACACGCGCGCAACACACGCTTGAGACGGACGCGGCGTGATTAGTCAGCCGGTCACCGCGTTCGGGGCCCTCCAAACACGAACCCACACTCGTTCTATTGTTTGATCCGAAGAGTAGCTTTGCCTCCCCCATGACGCCTCCCTCGCGGGGTCCTAGATCATGGTAACCTTCACAAGCATGTTCTGGTTCCAGGCGCACTGAGACAGACATATTTTCATTGGTCAGCCGGTCAGCACGGTCGATGCTAATAACCAAGACACACATACACACACAAATTGCGCCGCGCTCGTTCTCGTCCCTTGGCCTGGTAGTCTTCTATTAAGTCCTTCATCCAATCAGGCACCCCTGAACGTACTCCCGACCCGTTGTGCCCCCATATGCCCCTCCCGGGCCCTCCCTTCCTGGCTCGTTCGTTTTCTCCTGTCCCAATCTTAATCTTCCATCTTGTGCTGTCCCCGCTGTCGTGCTCCCCTCTCCCTCCCGCGGGACAATTCCGTCCCGTATTTTCCGTGGTGTGTTTTTTTGTGTGGTAGACTGGATGGACAAGCACCCTGGGGGTTCGGAGGTTGTGCATCTGATGGCAGGGAGAGACGCCACCGACGCCTTTGCCTCCTACCACCCCTTCACTGACAAGCCTCAAAAGGTCTGTGTCTCTGGTGTTGTTGTTTTTGGTGCTGCTGCTGCTGCTGCTGCTGCTGCTGCTGCTGCTGCTGCTGCTGCTGTGGTTGTTGATGATAATGTTGTTGTGGTTGTTGCTGGTGATGTTGCTGTTGCTGTTGCTACTGCTGGTGTTGTCGCTGCTACTGGTAGTGTTGGTTTTGATGGCTTGTTGTGGTCATCTGTGTTGTTATCGTTATCGTTGATAGCCTCGCAGACCTCTAGCCAGTACCTCGTCTGCTCTTCTCTCCAACGCCAACAAACCAATAACCGTGGTTGTAGGCTTTTATCTACAAGTAGGTTACAGATATCGTCGAGAGTACCTGCAAAAACTATCGTTACCGTACGCATGTGGCACAACATACCGCACCCGCTGGACCGATTTTCACAGCTCGTCTACTCCACGACGAAGAGGAACGCCGCAGTGTTCTTTTTTCGGAGAGATCTAGACGAAATGGTTCCAATGCGGCTATTATCCGCTCCGCCGCTCTTCCTGGCGTGGAGTAGTCGAGGTTTGGAAATCGGTCCCGGGGGGTGTGGTGTCTTGTGTCGCCTACTATTTTGGGCCTCGCTATCACCGCCCCTGGACCGAGCAAGAAGAAGCAAGGTCACACGAGCGGCGAAACAACAGCGCGAGCAACGTTGGACGCTATCCTTGTTTGTGTGTTGTTCGTGATATGCAATCCAGGAAACTCAGGCGTGCGTGTCAAGGAAACACAATAGGAATGGCGTCCAACTTGTTTCGCGTTGTTGTTTCACCGCAAGGGTGACCCTGGCCCCTTGTTGCTCGCTCAAGGTGCCGCGATGGCGAGGGTGTGCGCTATTATAGTGAAAATCTGCTTCCCTTCCCCGCGGTAGTCTGGACGAGGATGGTTTTAGTATGTAGGGGGTTACGGGTTTGGATTGGGGGAGGGCTGGGGTTATGAAACCCCCTCCTCTCTATTTAGCATACAACGCTGTATAAACGCTTTATTTGTCGCTTTATATCCTCGACAAGGCGGTCCGTAGCCACCGCAGCCTTCTGAAAACAATTAGGATCAAGGATCAAGTACAGATTTGGAGAGAAATGAGGCCTTTCGATGGGCCCACATCACCCGGCATTTCTACCACTTCACTATTTAGCCGTCATCACGAGAGAGACTGCCCGTGCTTCAAGACTGCTATTATATGCTGGTTCTCCTCTTCTCTTCATATTGCGTCCTCTTTTCTGTTGTTCGCGCGCATTGTCTTTCGCGTCGCATCTTTGTGCCCTCTCCGACCCTCTTGACTAACTCGGGCCGACTAGATGCTGCCCAAGTTTGAGATTGGGACTCTGGTGTCGAGGGAGTTCACACCGTACAAACGCGACGAGTCCGGCTTCTACCGGGAGATGTGCAAGCGAGTCGGGCAGGTGAGAAAAAATAAAGTTTTGTGCGTGTATGTTTGTTGTATTAGCATCGACCGCGCAAACGGGCTGACTAATGAAAATACGTCAGTCTCAGTGCGGGCGAAAACACAAAATAAATGCTTTTATTTGTAAAGGCTATGATCTGGGATCCCGTGAGGGGGGCGTCATTTGTATGTGTATGTTCGTGTTTATTTTTGTTTTTATTATTGTTGGTTTCGGACAAGACAAAATGAGTAGAGTCTTAGTACTGGGACGACAAACATGTGGAGCGGGACAGCGATCAACATTGATGAATCCCTGAATGACATGGTTATGGTTTTGTGCGGTTTGTTTCGTTACGGGCATGTTGGTGAGACTCCTGCAGCCTCGACGATGTGTCGGGTCGATAAGACATAAGACATGTTGCTGTTTTGCCGCCTGTCTCGTTTCCCTCTTTCCCGCTCTGGTGAGATAACGCTTGCTCTTGTCTCCCTCTCCCTGTTGCTTTTCCTGTTCACGCGGCAACGACCACAACCCGGTGCTGTACCTCCCCCCCCCCCCCTGGTTATCCACACACCATCTCTATTTCTTTTTCTCGCTCTCTCTCTCTCCCTCTCCATTTCCCTCTCCCTCCCTCCCTCCCTCCCTCCATCTATTTC